GATGTATTTGAAGAAGCCCTTCTTGTTGTCCTTGACATCCCTTGCCAGATTTAATTCCAAAGGGGCCTTAGCCTTCCTCGTCACGTCCCTGCACACTCTGACAGTGTCCCTATATTCCTCCCAAGTGGCCTGTCCCCTTTTCCACGTTCTGTACACTTCCTTCTTCTGTTGGAGTTTTGCCAGGAGTTCCTTGCTCATCCATCTCCTGCCCACTTTGCTGGACTTCATGCTCAGAGCGATGCACTGCTTTTGAGCTTAGAGAAGGCAATACGTGAATATTAACCAGTTCTCCTGGACCCCCCTTCCTTCTAGGGCCCTACCCCATGAGATTCCTCCAAGTAGGTCCCTGAAGAGGCCAAAGTTAGCTCTCCTGAAGTCCAGGGTTGCGATCCTACTTATTGCCCCGCTTCCTCCTTGTAGGCTCCTGAACTCTACCATCTCCTAGTCACTGCAGCCAAGGCTGCCCCCAACCTTCACATCTCCAACCAGACCTTCTTTGTTTGTTAGTACAAGGTCTAGCAGCGCACCTCTCCTTGTTGGCATCTCCACCACCTGTGTCAGAAAATCATCCTCAGTGCTCTGCAGGAAACCTCTTGGACTGTTTGTGTCTAGCTGTGCTCTCTTCCCAGCAGATGTCAGGGTGGCTGAAGTGCCCCATGAGAACCAGGGCCTGTGAGCATGAGGCTACTTTCAGCTGTCTGTAGAAGGCCTCATCGACTTCCTCTTCCTGATCAGGTGGCCTGTAGTAAACCCCCCCCACCGTGAACCATAGTACTTTATGATCTTATCCTGTTGACTTTTCTATTTTCCTGCTCTATCCCGTTAAAATGACTGAAGAATCCTGGTCCTGCTTTTACTTTGCTAACATCTGAGTGCAAAGGCCTTAGAAAGTAAGGATCTGATATTGAGGTTCACCGTATGGTTTAAAGTTTGGCTAGAAAGGAAGATACACAGTTATTTTCCATCCTCTACGGAAGGGAAAGAATCAAGCATTACTGAGTGAGGACTTATTTTTCCAGGAATGTTGAAAAAGCCTTTGAAAGCTGGCAACTGAATACAGTTTTGTGTCCACAGGGACACTGCATGGGGAGGCTTTCCACTTGAGTTCAGTTCCAATTATTTGTCATATCTTCTGCTTAAGCATTCTTTCTTGTGTAGTTAAAATTATAGATTATCTTAATATTTTGTAATAAGAGCAATAAACCTTGCAAAGTTGGACAAAAGCCCTGCCATCTTGCTACATAAAGGGTTCTGTGTAAAGAGAGGGGCAACACAGATTAAATCTGGCAAGTGTGGAGATGGCATAGGCTAGCTTCTTGCTTCTTTAAAGCTTTTAGATGTACAAGAACAATCTTGTATCCATGCAGCATCACTCCAGTGACGGAACAGAACAAATGAAATACTGACCTGTTTCAGTAAACATCCTTGTTTGACCACTATGCCTCTGAATTCTTCTTTCAGGACCACATCATCATCGCTAGAATTCCCCTCGCAGAAAAACCCACTGTCTGGCTGCACAACCACAAGAGAGATTTCAGAAGTCACACAACTGGTGTACGTATATGTACATATATAAGATGGCCTTTCTTTGGCTCCCCTCCACCATATTTTTCACCAGCCAAAAATCAAGCCTTTCACTGGAAAATTTCCCAGTGAAGCTGAGGAGCTCTCCAAGTCACAATGGAAGCAATTCAGTACGAGGTGGCACTACACACCATGGGTCTCACTGGTATTTACTCAAACTGGAAATCAAGCTGAAAGCAAGCAGAGTGCACGTGGACTTCCACATGTCCAGGTAATAAGAGACTCTGATGGCCAAGGCTGCCTTAGCCCCCAGTGACTATGTTTTCATTGCGGCTCAGGTAAGGTCTCTTTACCACGTAGATATTCTAGGAAAATAAATGAAATGATGGGAGATTGATTTTGCTGAAGTCAAATGACTACATAGTAAGTATAAACAGAATTGATTGTTTAAATATTCTTACCAGGCAGAAGGAATTCATTTTTATTAGCATAAGCTCATAAGCCAAACATCTTTAAAAGAGTATTTGACCATGATTGTGATATTGCAAGTTCTAAGCAATGCGCAGAGTATGAAATATTAAACTGAAAAGGTTGGGTAAGTTACCCAGGACAGGGGGTCTGGTTGGGGATATTAAAAAATGTTTGCCTGTTTGCTCATAGGCAAGCCTGTATCTGTGTGTCCTGAGTCAGATCTGATGGCTTCACACATAAAAATGAGTTTGCAGCTTGTGTCACTCCAAGAAATCACATGCTAATGAATTACTCCCTTCCCTGGCTGTTGAATCATCAGTGGAATTGGTGGCTAACTTCTGGTCACTGCTGAAATTCCTGGCAACAAAGTCTAAGTTAGAAAGAACCCAGCTTAACGTCAGGCCTCAGATCACACTTACAAAGAAGTGTGCCAGGAAAATTGACTGCTTACAAACATTAAACTGAGCAATTTCATTCTGGATTTCTCATAGAGAAAGGCAATTAACATGGATCTCTCTATTTCTGTACAATCCTGCCTCCAAGGCTTAAGAAAGAAACCAATATAAGCCGGAGAAAGCTGAGCGTCTGCCAGTCTGGGACAACATAAAATGAGAATACAACACTCACAAAATAATAATAGGCATCGGTGAGATCTAAGAAGGGGGTGTCTGACAGTCCCTCTGCTGCAGCCTTGGATGTTTCCCCTGCAGGCTGTAGGTAGCCTTCATTCAAGAGGGAAGAGGCAAGCATGAGGCCCTCTTTGCGATTTCGGATGGAGTTGCTAGATACTAGCCAGTCAATCACAGAGGTGCCTGGTTACAAGGGAATAAACAAGAATATTAGTCACAAACCAAGATAGACATAAGGAAAGCTAACAATACACAGGCAACAAACCTACTCCATCTATTCATCAATCTGCTGAAAGATATTCTTAGGGACAACACAGAGAGCTAATATGGAGAGGTGCCTGGATCATCCAGTGAGGTACAGCCAATTTGAGTGCTGGGATGGGGTCAGTACAACTCTTGAACGCTGTACCTCAGGGAGAAGAAAGCTAGAAGGGGATGCAGGCCTGAGCTGGGAAGCCTCACTGGTAGGGAATGAGGAAGCACTGCAAACAGCTAAGCCTGGAAAAGGCAGTCTTCTGAGCTACTATGCTACTGACATGGTGCCTTTGAAACAGTGACTTTTTGACCTTAGCACCCACAGATTTGACTCGGTGCAGGACAGGCATTACAGCATGACAGTTTGGTAATCAAAAATTCAGAGTGGAATAATTCTGCTGGAGCTAAGTGTTTTATCCAGTTTTCTACAAAGACTTATTTCAATGTTTCTGGCACTGGTTCTTTTTCAGAGCGGGGTACCATCCTTGCCCTCCTCTCTAGGCTACATATCTGAACAGTTTTTCGAGTTTCATCCTTTGAGCACCTTCTGTGTTGATGAAGAACACTTCTGTCAGCTTTTCTTCTCAGACTTCTCTGTGCTCTACAAAGCTTAGAGCTATTTTGAGCTCTCTTTACCCTCTTGGCCCTGTGCTCCTTTTGCTGTATGACAATGCTCCTTACCTGTAAAGCAGTGATTGAACACTTTTTTATCTTTTTCCAGCTTTAATTCCTTTATTCCCTTTTCAGGATCTTTCATTGAAAGGTACAAAGCACTGTGCATAAAAAGAACCACAGGAATTGTTAGCAAATAGAAAGCTTTAGCCAATTGGTACAACAATATAGCCCTGATTCACAGGAGACCTCATATTTTGCTGGCATCATGATCTCTGCAGAGCTACACCACAGCTTAGTTCAATCTTCTGTAAAGTTGGCTGCGCGAAGCCTCCAGGCCTCACCACATCCCTACCATGGCTGCAGGAGCAGAGGGCTAAGTACACAAAGGGGCTCACCCCACCCCATTTTGAGACTAGAACAATTTGTGGTGACTGTAGCATGAACAGAGGAACACCCTCTGCTACAGGCTCCTTTGCAGGGCTCCACAGCCCCAGTGCTGATACAGGAGCTCACTGATTTGCTATGTTCCCCCTGAGGTCCTCAACAGAGCAGGAGACCTGTGACCATGACATCTCCAAAGTCTCCATGCTTTCAGAGACCCTGAGTAATCTCAGTTACTCCTGCTCTTATTTCCTTCCTCCCACCTGCTTTTCACTTGCTCAAAACTCTAATTTCTTGGGATTCTTGAGGTGACAAGAAGGCCAAATATTAAATGCCACAGACCAAGTCCACAGGCTTGGCATTCAGTCAGGGTGATTCTCTGCTCAAACCAGTGAAGTCAATTTAGTTGGACCTTGGCCCTACACAGTGTTACAGTTCTCCCAGGAGCACCACAGACTCATTTGTACTCTAGTATTTACTCCTCGGAGGCAAACAATATGTTATCTTTAACTTTATAAACAGAGACAAGCATATGGCCTCCTGTTTACCCTTTATCTCCTCTTCTCCTTTTGCCAGCTCCAAGTTCTCTGGCAGACCTTGCTCTCCCTTCCCCATCCAAAAGCTACTGCTAATAGAAACATACGTCTGGAGAGCAAACAACAGGTTTAACATATTTTTGCAAGACACGGTTGTATAAAAGTGCCTCTCCTGGAAGAATTCTAATTTTGGTTGGGGTCGTCTTTTGCACTGCAGTGTGCTCAGAAACCTCCTTATCAGCAAAATCCTTTGACAAGTAAGTATGTTTTGACAAATATAATGTGTTCAAAAATGATCTTCCCAGTTCTGATTGCTAGCTCATTTCTACCATACTTTGTTTCCTGAAACAGTCAGTCATGCAGAAAGAACTCTGAGGGAAACTAGAAAGGTAACATGGACAGACATCTTCATAGCTCTCCCAGCCTGAGGTTACAAATCTGGCAACACCTCCTGCACATGGAAATCAATGAGGGAGCAGAGATATGAGAACAAACCTCAGGTTGATTGTTTCAGGCAGTCTGATAGACCTTCTTGTGGATTTTCTAGCAAACCTCTGGCCTCCATCTATGCACTGAATAGCTTTCTTGATATCCCGTACCCAGGCATCTCTCTCCTCTAGGTAGGCAGCTTGGAAGAAATGGTCCTGCTGCTTGGCTGCAGTGAGCTTGAAGACAAACTGGAATGATAAATGATGTTTTTTTAAACTTACTTTTATGTAGTCAGATTGGTACTATTACCCTAATTTCACCATTACGTTTATAGCCTACCTGTGCCTGAGGGGCTACTGAAGATATCTTAGACCCGCAGCTAACACTGAAAAACTCTGAAGAAAAACATGAACTGGTAACTGACTCCTTTTATTTTTTCCCACTGAACACTCCTGATGTTGTCAGTATAGTCAAGGTGAGCGGCACTGACATAGCTGTTGATTTTAACTTTTGCTGCAAAATTCAGCACAGCTGAAACACTGACATGCCCAGCCCCTGCAGGCTTGCAGTTGGTGTAAGCTTGTCTTAATGTAGAGGTATGATCAGTCTCAAGCTGAAAAAACACCCTGCATCTTGCTGCTCAGCTACTGATTCACTGGGTGAGAAATGGACACAGTCACACTGGAGAGGAGCTGAACAAAGTTGCAGCCTAGCATACCTTTAAGGGTTTGGTAGGGAGATGGTATAGTGAAACCTTAGCTACGCCTCACAATTGCTGGCTATCAAAACATACTAGCAATGATGGAAATACTACGTTGCTAAAAAAAGGGAGAAGATATCTTTAGAAGGTAGTTTTAGGCAGAAAAAAACCCACCACTGAAAACCCCGCCACAAACTTCAGACTATTTGATCTGGTTTTCGTCCAGTAATCTGGATGGAAAATCTGGATTTATTTACTCAATCAAGAGGGTTTCCATTTCCTCCAAAATATAGTTCCCCATAAGTGGAATTGTAATTTGTTCCGTAATTCTGTTAGAATAAATACAACAGATTATTACTCAGATATTTAGTGGGCATCTAACTAAAAATGGCAGGCTAATCGGCAGGCAGATAGCATGGCTTGTGAAGGCAAGTAGAGACTGTCATTAGTCAGAGGGCAAAGCACAATGAGTCTACAGCAATGAAACCAAAACACTGTTATCAAGTTTACTGAAGCCTGCTCTTGTAAATGGTATAATTCTGAGCTTCCCAAAAACAGATCTTTCAGATCATTGCCAATAGTAAACAAATTCTGACACCCTGAAATTGTGCAGAAGTCCCACTGACTTCAGCAGAAGAAAGATTTCAAACTTGCAAAGCACTGGAATACTCCAAAATCCATTTCAAACAAAAAAGTAACTGATTCTTATCTGACACTGTTTAGGTTTCCAGCAACATCCACCTTCAGTGAACATTAAAGTAACTAGGCAGATCTCTACAAATCCGAACAGCCAAGAGTCGTGTTAACACTCTGCAACGCCATAATGAAACAAAGCACAAAAGCAGGCTTTTACCAAGGGGAGAATCAAGGTTCTCTGAGTGCAGGAGCTGAGAAGCAATGCACACTGAAATGTTAGAGAAGCTTTTTTGTTTCCAGTACACAGAAGAGACTAGAAAAGCTTTTTTCTCCCACCTTTAGCTACCAGAAAACTTAGGCACTAAGCTAGGAATTCAAGCATCCTCAGAAATTCAAGCATCCTCAGAAATTGGTGAAGAGGTTGAGTTTCAAATCCTAGAACACCACATTAAGCAACGATCAAACTTCAGACCAAGAACAGTGAAGAGCAGTGAATGGATGTTGAAATAAAATCTCAAAACATACAGTCACAGCCTTTTCTAAACAAGCTATAGCTCTGTTCAACAAATCAAAGATTGCTTCCTTGTCTCTTTCACGTCATCACCTGCCTTTTGCCAATTGATTTAAAAACTGAAGTGCATTGGTGATGTACCTTGTACATAAATATTTGGTTTAAGCTAGGCCTTGATGCAGGAATACAGTCTGATTTAAAAAGCTGAAATATAATCAGATGGATATAAAACTCTGCTCATGGTTCAGTGTTCAGTGCTCCAAATTGGGCTCAGATGAGTGATAGTAGACTTAAAACTGACCTAACTAGAATTATCCCACTTCTCAACCTTCAGAACTCCTGCCCTAAAAATATACTTTCATTTTTAGCCACAGGAAGTGAACATGTGAGAACCAGTAGGAACCAGAATAATTCCCAGAGTAAGTAGAACTGTATGTTTTATCATGTAACCAACCAGAATGCAGGATGGAATGCAGAGGCTTTGAATTCAGCAGCATAGTAAAGCTACAAAACCTAAGATACTGTATTTTCAAGGAATACATCTATAGATTTAGATTGAATCATATTGGGCAATAGCTACTTATAAGAACAGTCCCAATGGCAGCCATTACTTTTATGAATGAGCATGTTGTAGTTTTGCTCTCTGATGTTTGATTGCTTGAACAGTTCAAGTTTTAAGAGAAAATATCCCTCCACAGCTGCTGATCATTTGTAGAAGGATCTTGCCAACTCGGTAAGGGCGGCCTGCTCCAGTACCTGCTGATGTAGTTAGGATCACTTCCATCAACTTACAAACTCTGCATCAGGTCTTATTTATTAAAAAGACATTTTAGGTGCGCTATCTCCAGATCTGAGATGCTTCCCTTTTCCTCTGTTCTCACTCAGAAAAGGCCCCAGTGACTGAAATGAAACTTTGACCAGGCAAAAAATGAGGGAAAACTGATTAAAAACTTCATTTGCTAACTCAGTGAAATACAGAACCATGAACGGTATTTCCTTCTGTCAGTGAATACAGCACATGAATTTTATCTGCTAGCCTGGAAAGCATAACCTAAAACTCATTGAAGTCAAAAGAAAGCTCCTTATAGGCTTCAGTCACCCTTTGCTCCAGACTCACTGCCATCATATCATCTGCAGTAAATCGGGATCCAGTAAATCCCGAAGCAACCTTTTGAGCAAGTGGGAATCTCTCTCACCCCGAGTTCAGCAGACATTAAACACTTCAGACCTTTCCGCCTATTTTATAGAATGTACATATGCTACTGAGTTATATTTTTATTATTATTAAACATAGTGGTACTGACATTTCCAGTCAACCAGTACAGACCAATATTGATTTGATCTAAGTTTCAAGTGGCCCTCTGGAAGTTAAAAAAAAAAAAAAAAACCCACAACCATCTGTCTGCAGGTAAATGCTTTGTAAGAAAAGCTTGATTTCTAGTATTACACCATAGGATCTATGGCGCTCTTGAATATAACTCATGTTGGGGAGAGCACTATATCTCACTTGTAGAGTAAGGAGTGCTAACTGAGGCTTGTTAATTAGTCCATCTAGGAACGCAGTTTCAAAGCAGCAGAATTAGATCAAAATATGTGCAGCTCTATATATTTGATTTCTGTCCCTTGGTTATTTAATGCTCTTGCCCCATGCTCTAGTCACTAGACATAAGTATGTTTCACTTTTATTATTCAGTTTGCAAAAGAGGAAGTCAAACGTAATGTGCGATTAATACAGATTACACGAATGTGTAATTAATACAGATTACACGAATGTGAAGTACCTGGGGTTGGGGTTGGTAATGGAACGGTTTGAAATCACTGATTCACTTGGGCGCTCATATCAGAGCTTTTATCTCCCTCCTGTGCAAGCAAGCTAGTCATTTCTCTTTAACAATAATTAAATGTTTCCATTGCTTGTGAAATGGAGTTTTCCACACTTTTGTTCTGTGGCTATCAGCAAGTGGATTTATATTTAACAAATGGAACAATATAGTTCAGCTCTGCTCTCTGACAGATTCAGAGATCAAAAAAAATCGCTTTCTGAATCACTCCTCTTGAAATATCCGGAATTCTTCTCACACTCTGAAACACTATACAGGTCCAAGCCTACTTGTGAGCTTCTACGACTAGTCAGAGTTGCAGCCAAAAAAAATGTAAGGAATCTGTAACCACTAGCCTTGTGCCCCTTCAGTGCCTCCATCAGTATATTGTCAACCATTTCTATAAAAGAAAGTACTTACCATTCTTTTGCCAAAATCTTGGCATGGGCTGTTAATAGAGCTTCCTTTTAGTGGGACCATCCCTTTAGGGCTGTTGTCAGCCTTCCGCTTGTAGAATTCAATCCCATCTTCTAAGAGCACAACCCACATTGGCTTCCAGGTATTAAACATACTGCCCTGTATCAATAAATCCTGGTGTACATTATTTCCAATAAAACACTGTTCACATTATATCCACCAAAGATCTGACCTTCTAGGCAGTGTCTGACAGACTCTCTCTAAAATAACTATATTTACTGTCTCAAGGAGGGGTACATACCACAGCCACACCAATCTCATTATGCAGTTAAAATGCGTTGCTGTTATTTTTGTGACCATCATTATTTTCCCCTTCTGGTTGTTCCAACCATGAGTTTTTCCAAAATTGCATTGTCTGCACTAGCAGGTGTTTATTTTCACTATCATTTTGTCTCAACTACTATATTTAAGATGATATAGTGGCAATGCCATAAGCAATCCTCAAAATTTTCAGATGTGCACTGGTACCTTAGGGCTATCCTATTAACTTTGGGCATCCTGTGCTGTGCTTAGGACTCAAAGCTACAATATAGTAAGCTCCTGAGGCCTGGCTGTCTAATAAGAGAGCACACAGCTCAGGATTTCTAGGCCACAAATGAACTGTAAGAGCAAAGAATAGTTCTGAGAGTGTAGATCTTCAATTGCAGGGTGAGGAACTAAGATGATTCATTTCATCTTTTAAAGCTTTTGCTTCCCATTCCTAAAACACAGATGTTAGATGTGAGAAATGTAAAAGTGCAGGCAGGGCCAGATCCTGCATATATTGAAACATGTGGAAAAACTGTCAGGGTTCAAAGAGGAACTGCCTGTTTCTTGAGCACGATTAAGTGCTAGAATTACTATGACAGTTTGTTGCGCTCTGGCTAGATGCACTCCTTGGTCCTGTCCCCCCAGGCCAGCTTCAAAAGTGGTCACAGATTCCAGATACCCCAGTGACTTGCTGTTCAGTCAGATGAATTTTTAGATATACTGAACATCAACAGTTCTTCTGAAGAGCTAGAAAAAAGTACCCAGAATCTGTGGGCCACCCTTTGAAAATATTCGCTTTCTTTGCTCTGTCTGGCACAAAGAGAGACCTCAACTTATCCCATCCTTTAATTCCTTCCACAGCATCCTTGTCCTCCTCAGACCATGGTGGCAGAGCAGTACTGAAGATACAGACAGAAGCAAGGCAACCACCATCGCGTTGTGCAAGTGGCTTGTTTTGATTTGTTAAGCCTGAGAGCTCTGCAGAGTAGTCTCATTTGCATTTTATATTTCTGTGGAGATAGCACGGTCTGAGTCTTTTATTTCCAAATTATGCCTTCACTGGTCACATCCTTTTTCCTGTCCTACCTTCCAAAAAAGGCCTTTTGCATTCTTGAATCAGACCTAACGTTCAATTACAGAATGGAGAGGGAAAACTGTTAGCAGGGAACTTACTAAAGGTGGGACTTGCTTCCACCCTCCGAAGCCCTTGCTGGAATCAGGGGCTGTTCCATGCATGAATGCTACCTTCCAAAGGACAACTTCCATGCTGGGGGCTCTCTGGAAATCCAGCTAAACTAGGAACTACAAAAAAGACCCTCATCAGGATATCATGTGTAGGCTGCTGGATTTTATTTTTTTTTAACTAAGCCGTAAGAACATAACATTTTTGGAGAACCCAAACTGACCCACTCGTCGTTTTTCTGCTAGGAAATCAATTAAGATGGTGAGCCAAGACAAGAACCACTGTAATTTCCTTTTGTTCATTGGGCTACCATGGCTTACAGTACTTCTGCTCATGAACAGACAAGTCCAGTACTTCCTGAAGACCAGACACACTGCCAATGAAAGCCACTGCAGAGCAGGATGAGACTGGCAGTCTCAGATCCACACCATCAGCAAGCCCAAATGCAGTTATATTCCTCTTGCCTGAAACAACTCAATAAAGACAAGCAAGCAGAATTTTAGTTTCCTGGACTAAAAAGTAAATTATTTCACTTACTCCAAGGACTGCAAATAAAGATGAGTGTTTCCTGAATGGCTCTCTGAAATCATTAGCCACTATAAAAACACTTCGCCTTGGTAGGACTCCTTTTTTAACATCTGCAGCACTACATGATTAAAAAATGAGCTATTTCCTATGCTTGCTTGGAAGAAGACACAAGGCCTGCAAAACATACAGAAACTTGAGCTGACATAAATCAACACTGAAGTTCGATCCACATTTACACAGGTCACTTCATGCCAGCTAAAGCACTAACCCCAATGACGCTCCTAGCCTGATGTAAATAACAGGAGGAGAAAGTTTGTGAAAAATGGCCTCTACGCTCTGTAAAGGCAGTTGTGGCTGCATGGATCACTCCTTTGGCTGGCATGACCCTTCGTTACACTTTGCAAACAAAGAGTAGGAGAGCATATAATTAGCATGCAAGGTTAACCAGGAACACATCCATCCTAGCTGGAAGTTCTGGTTGTGCATTCACAACAGCCTCACTGGTATATTAAAGAGCTGGCATGAGTCCAATTTGTGTTTTCTGCTCCTTTTGCCCACTGGCCCTCCCTCTAGCACAGTGCTGCTCCTCACCACCAATGTAACCTCACTTCTGCAAGGACAGAGCCATCTCTGAGGTGGTTCTAGCAAAGGGGGCACAATTTCCACTTCCCTCTGGCTGTCGTGAGTGCCCAGCACTGACTCTCCATTAGTAGTACCCACACACAGACTCCTTGGGGACCCAGCACCCACAGGAACAGAAGAGACTGAAATGGGCACATCTGTTTGTATCTTTTACCTGGGATATCCAACCAGGCACACAGCTGGGGTTTTGTCCCAGCATCTAAGTTTCCAGTCATTCCCCTGCCATGAAGGAATACACATCATGAGCCTTTTAATCTGTATGCTGGGCCATGGGAGCTACAGCTGCATTCTGCTGTCTGTGAATTTCTCTCTCTCCTCATGACAGCCTAAGTGCAGCTTTGAAATTGCTTTATGCACTTACTTCCTTGCAACAGCAGCGGAAATATAAGCAAGGAGTGGCCTCTCTGCAACACTGGTCCCAGATCTGTCCAGCCTGCTCTTCTGAGGTTCTGGTTTTGGCAAGCAAAGACTCCACAGCACAGAGCTCCTCTCTTGCTCTGGGACTGGGACTGTTTAGTTAGACTGCTTTAAGCCAAACTGCTCTCACTAAGGATATAAATAAAAGTCATGACCTAATGCTATGGGCTCCACCACAAAAGACTTCAGAGCAGGGGCTGCAGAGAGGCAGTGGCTGCCTTCCCAAAAAGGGGAAGCGTCTATGACCCCACATTCTGTCTCTAGGTCAAGGTGATCTGACCTCTTTAGTCCCACAAACTTTCCTGGCTACAAATCAGTGACTAAGTGCTATTGGACAGACTGCAGCCATTTCAAGCTGTTACCTGTTTTGCCAAGCTTCCAGTGAAGGCCTTGGGTTTCTTACAAACAAACAAACACACAAAAAAACTCCCCAAAACAAAAACAAAACAAAACAACTTTTGACCCAAAGGTGCATCTGGGATATGTGCAAAAATGCCTTACCTTACAGTATTTAACAGGCTATAACTGCTAGCAAGTACCTCTATTATCAGTAACACTATATTGATTCAGTGCTCAGGGAATTGTTCTCATTTGCCTTTTTTGGAAAAATGATTTCTTCTAATAAGTAAACCAAAATATGTTTCCCTGCATTCCCCGAACATGTTCAGTCAGCTTGCTCCTCCACTCTGATAAACCTGCCCACTTACCTTCTTAACTAAGTAGCCCTCCCTTATTCGCATTGGTTCTCGCTCCATGGCTCAGGCAATCCTGCTCTCAGGTCTAGCAGAGGTGGCAGTTAAGCTCTTGTGGCAGCAAAGTCTGTGGGCTGGTGTTCTTACAGTACAGCTGTGTCACTTTCACAAGTTCCTCTGCCTGCTAATCACATGAAACAAGCCCATTTCCTCTTACAGAGCGAGAGAGAGAAACACAGAAGCGCACTATATTTATAGGTTGCTTCTCTGAAACAACAGGCAAGAGCTCTACAAAAAGCCCAACTGCATCAAATACTGCCAGCCTCAGCTACAGAACCCTGGGAAATTAAGCATTTGAAATGCCCAATCCCAAGAAATCAGGCCCACTCTGCAAACACAAGAGCTCTAGCAAAACAGTGAAGAGCACGGTGTTGCATGCTGCGGCTTGATGCACACCCGAAGAGTCTCAGGGACACGTTTCCAGCTCACCAGCTTTGTCACTGTGTCACTTCAACCCATCTGTGAAGCTCCACTCCTAGCATACGCAGGGTTCACCAGCAAGCAGGAGGGCCCTCACTGCGTTAATGACGATGCGCCCTCTGCTGGTGTCAGAGACCAGAGTCTTTATCAGACTTGATCAGGTTTTGCAGTTTGATGGTGTGTTCCGTAGGTGTTAGTATACACAAATGTATTTGACCCTAACACTACATAAAGCACCACAGCACGTGACTTTCCATGAGCATCTTTTACTTGTCACACAGCTTATTTGGCTATATTTGGTAAGTGATTGGGAGAAAATAGCATTTTTCAGTTGATACATACCACAGTCACACTTCCTTTTTCTGATACAAGAGGAAGGGTGGTGACAGATGGGAGGGAATAAGGAGGCTCCTGCATTGCCAAGGGCAAAGTAATGTCTCCAGCAGGTGACTCAGAATCACCTTTAGAGCTGGGCTCACTCAGATCAGGGCTGTGCCTAGATGTGACTCCATCTGTCACCTCTGCCATTTGCAAAGGTCTCTCATCCCGGCAGGCATAAGGCATGAAGCTTCCTCCAAAAAGCAGTGCTCTATAGGCCATGGCCAGTGTCTTCTGAAGCACTCCAATCCCCACCGCTGAATTCCCTCCCCAAATCCCTTTCCCCAGGCAGAAATTCCTGGTCTCCATTTGTCTCAGCCTTTAGTCTGGAATATACAGACATCTAATAAGGTCTGTGACAGAGAATCAGGTAGGAAGAACCTTCAGAGTCTCTCTAGGCATTCCTCACCGATGCCTATTTAGTGGTTCTCCCATGGTGCAGATTCCATTCCTTCTTGGGCATGCTATATTAGTGCTTCACTATCCCAACTGCTTAACGTTTTTCCCACTGCCTGAATTGAGATTTTCCCGCAGTGATTTCAGCTTGCTACTTCTGTCCTATCCACCATGGACATGGAGAATGGATTGCTTCCTTCTTTGTGGAGGCAGTGTTACATGGTTGCTATGCCTTGAAGAACCAGCTTCTGCTGGCTAGGATGCAGGACTCCAGGATTAGACTAGTAATCTGTGTAGTCCTTAGTGAAGCTGCCAGCAGGTTTCTGCCTCATGAACCACATAGTCAAATTGTCTGCTTTAAGCTTGCTCAGACATTTTGCAACTAGCTATTCCTTAAATGACTTCTCCAGTCCCATCTTCAGGCAGAGCACCTATCTGTACGAGCAATCTCAGGCCATATGCTTTGCACGACATTTTGCCCAAAGTATAGGTTTAAGTGAAGCTGTCACAAGCAGTCTTTCATATACGTTCAGGTTGTTATTCAGGTGTCTTTTCCAGAACCTAAAGAACCTTGTTACCTTGTCTCTTTGCCCATATAAGTCACATTTATGTGAGGGACTTGATTCTCATTAAAGACCCTTAAAGACTGCCTCATTCTTCATTAGGCAGTTTGCAAGTCAAAGATTCAATATACGCTTTTCAATTTTCTGATTCTCAAATGTACTTGACATCAGACAACAGATTCTAAAATCATTAAGTGGAGGACAGACAGATAGAAGCTTATACATAGCTTGTAGAAGCTTCATGCTCTTTGGAAACCAAACAAAGCTGAGCACTAAACACTGATCAAAAGCTCTGTTAAAAGCTTTGTTTCACATTTGCAGTAATGAATCTGACCATCAGCCCCAGGATATGGAATGAATTTAAAACACGTTCCTGAGTTTTTAAGTGATATAGCTTCAAATTTCTTTGAGTTGTTTGCAAGATGGCTCCCTTCAGCTCCTGTAAGCCTTAAAATGATGCTTGATGTCCTCTAAAGCTTCTAGATTCTTCTTGTATAATGTCTTTTTTTGCCAAGTAATTCCTTCTGCTCTAAGAAGGTGCATTATTTCCTTCTCTTCCCTTTCATTCCAGTAGTTCCACCTTTGGGAAAAGGTGCACTATTTTTGCTTTGATTGGACAGATAACAAAGAAACATAGGTCATCGACAAAGACAATTCAAATTAAATCTCCTTCATATTTCTGGAAGCCGAACTATCCCTTTATTAGCTGTCTTGAAGCTATAATGCTACAGAGCTTGGGATGAGCATTAGAGACCAAGAACTGGGTCATAGTTAGCTTCTCCTTCTGTCCCTACCTTGCTGACCCTTAGGCCTGAGGAAAATAAACCCCTTCCCCTGCTGGAAGAACTTACAGGGAACGAAGAGAGAAGAATCTACCAGCATTTTCCTCTCTGCAGGCAGCCTTTGCACAAGTTTTCCCCTCAGCAGGAGGAAGCTCAGCTCTGCTCTCCAGCTCCCACTGGTTCGGTGTTTGCGCTGAGTCAGGATTGCAGGCCCTACATGATAAATTGATGATAAGAAGTATCCAGGAACAGTTCCTCTTCCACAGGACCTCCATGTGACCTTATAGTAAAAAGTGGATTAATATGAACAGAAAGGGATGCTGACAACACACTCTGAAAAGAAAGCTCTGATTTACCTGCATGAAAAGCTGCTAGAGATGTGTGCAATACAATTATAGATACAGTGGCACTAAGCCAGTAACTCCACAATTTACTATTAGTTACTTAAGCAATTCACTGTAATCCAAAGCATAAAATTACCACTATCCAATATTAGCTGGAAGCAACTACTTTTATAACATGTATAACATTTCTTTTCTCTATGTTGTTTATGCTTCATCCTCAAAACTCACCCATTCTTTTACTAATCTGATATATATCACTGAAACAATCCATTTGTTATAATAGTGAGGCTTGGTTTCATTTATCACTCATCATCACATGGGAACCAGCACTTCATCTTCCCCTAAGCCAAAATCTGATCAGTTAAATCATTCCTATGGAGCAAGATGGTATTTAACCATGCAGTGGCCATGGTGGGGGATGCAAGGGACAGGCTGAACTGCTGATGCACATCTTTGTGCAGCTATTGCTGAAGAGCAGCACCAGGCATAAAGGAGAGAGGAAGGGCTGTATTTCTTCCAGCTGCCCACACAGGGGAGGATAGAGCTTTAATCTGGCAAAAAGAGAAAGTAACTTGCATCATGAAATTATAAAATCCTGTTTTCTGCCACATCAGAGCCTGTTCCTGCAAGCATTAACAACAACAACAACAACAAAAAAAGAAGTGATCAAATATATTTGATCCAGCTGAGAAACTGATGGGACTTTATACCCAAAGCTCAAACTATCCAGACAAATTAATTAGCTGCAAGGAAGACATATGCAATTGCTCAGCTTGTTACATTAACTCCACTGCTCCCAGGACTAGCCCTCACACTGCTGTTCCTCGAGCATGTTTGCTGTGCTTTAAGTGCTGTAAGCCCGCTCTGGTAACAGAGCACGTAGGCTCTCCAGAAATATGCATCACTCCAGCAAATCAAGTTGCATTTCAACGGAAATCTATATCAAATGCTGTATTTTCAAATGATTACCTACACAGGAAAATTAACATAAGCAAGTGATTTGTGAAGGTGATAAATAAAGACTCAGTCCAGCTTATAGTTCAGTAACACACCTTCTCACTTCTGCTTGGACACAGAGGTCTCAATAGAATTATAGTATTAAACCGAGAGCTGCCAGGTGTGAGTCTCAGCACAATTCACTCCATATGGCATCACACATATGACTGTTTTTAGAGAATGAGAGATTGTGGCTTTGCATTCACTTATCAAAAAGAAACCCAAACCCAGGACATTTCCAAATTTAGCACTGTGGTAAAAAAAAGTAATCAAAGAGGGGGTAAAAATGAAAAGATCATTACAGGTATTGTCCATGTCACCTTGGAATCCAAAGGCTGTAGGTTGGCTGTCGTAAATAAACCATCTTGTTCTGACCTCAGGCACATTTAATACATTTAATTCTTGCAGAGCTATGCAGCACGATTAGCACATAAACTGGAAAACAGGAAGGACTGCATAAATAGTAACACTGAAAAGCTGATGTAGTTGACACGATATCATGCTAACACAAATCATATTAAGTGGGTTCAGGTGAGATGCCAAATGGATATCTCCAAAGCAAATTGGGCCAGTGCATATTAGCCCTAGCATAGGCTGTGAATTGCACACATATTAGTTCTGACCTGTCACTGAATAATGCTAGCCTCACCTGTGACTTACTCACCTCTCTCCTGTGGTATTTCCCCTTAGTGATACAAGTAGGTGATGCAGCCAAAGCAGGAAAGGCCTAGGGACAAGTGAGATGTCTCGGAGGAGACACAACAGTGTGAGAAGACTTTCCTTGTTCTAGGAAGAAAAACGACAAGAATGGCTAAGCACACTGGCCGCAACTCAGCTGAGGGAGCCCACCGTTCCCCGAGAGAGCGCTGAAGGGCTTGCTAACTAACAGCCTCAAGAAAGCAGGGGAGCCCTCACCTCACACGGGAGTGCTGCAATGTTCCAGGCCCAAGGAAAAGGAATTACCTGAACATACCTTACCAATCCCAGACAACAGGCTGGGGCATCTCAGATGCCAGGGGAACAAAAAGTAGATTTGAAAGGCAAAAATAAATTAACCTGCATATTAAAGACTTAAAAGGTTTTAAAAAAATAAGAACAAACAAACAAACCTTCAAAAAACTCCAAATCATATAGGTATGGAGAATGGAAGAAAGGGCACATAACTTTTTCTGCTTGTTCATGGAAGCAAGTTACTGCCATGGCTTGAGAAAACACCAAAAAGACACCTTGCCATAAGCCCCATGATGATATATTTAGCCTCGCATCTTGTAACGGTCAGTACGTTTGTTCTGTGCTCCTGGCAAAAACCACACATCCTCCTCCTAGCTACAGATATTTTGCTCCCATCAGAACATCAAGCAGTTGGTATCAGGGCACTGTGAGGGCTGCCTGCTCCCTGCAGGCCAGGGCAGCAGGAGCTGCAGGGAATCCCCAGGCTGGCAGGGCAGGGGCCTTGCCAGCCAGGGCCTGTCCCATCAGGCAAGTTCATGGCAATGAGGCAGACCGGAAGTCATGCAAGGAATTCAGTGTAGAGGTCAGGATCAGGTCTAGTGAGGGTAACTCGGGTCAGACACAGTCAGCTGAGCAGGTCCATGGTGACAGGGCACAGCCAAGGCCATCAGCCCAGGCCCAGCTGGAGACTAGCACTCCCACAGCATCACTAGAGCACAGACTGACAGCCCCAGGCTGAGCTTAAAGAGAGCCCCTGGGTTTTGGGGGGGGGAGGGGAGGGGGGTGTGGATATTTGGGAGGCCCCAGGTGAGAGGTTGGTCAGAGGCTGTAAGGCCATTAGTGTCCTCAGGCTGCTGACAGTTAGTTTATCAGTGAGAGAGAGACAATTGGTTGTCAGGGATTCTTAGGGTTTTTTATTTGTAATTTATCAACCATGACGTTGGCCATTTGGGTAATTCTCCCTGTGAGTGATAAAGTGGTGGCTGTGCTGCAGCAACAAAACTAACTTCCCAGAAAGACTTAAGAAAGGCAAAGCCCTCTGCAATCTACACTGATAAAGAGCATCATCTGGTAAGGTCAGATAACTGAATAACATAAAGGCATATGAAGTTATGAGGTTGATAAAAAGAAAAGCAATGCCCACATTTAAAATTATTTCCTCACAAATGTTCCACTGTCAAAATGTTTCACTTTCAAATAGTGAACTAGTTACTCAGTCTATGCATACATGATCCATAATATGATGCTTTTAAGTTCTTCCTCACGTTTGCCATTTTTTGCCACAGTGTACTGGAATAACATCATAGCCTGAGTTGTGTCCGGAGAAAGATAATTGTTCAGGCAGAAATAATAGGGAAAAAAAGCCTTGTTATAGATCTATCCTTATGTGTACTTGGGAAACTAATTGCAATCAATACTTCAGCTACACACAATTTACCACAACATGATACATCTGGCTCATGAGGAAAGCAGAACTGATCCCTGGAAATGGCCGTTATTCTGCACACCACTTTAAGTGACACTATTGGGTTCCGCACCTAAGGTCTCTGTGATTTCTTACTGAATTATATTTAAACTCGGTGAGAAGTGCTGCAAGCAAAACTTTCACCAAGCCACAAAACACAGAGGTTCTCAGCAGAACATAATGAAAAAAGAGTAGCGTTTTATAATGTGCAAACAAGATATGGAGAGATGTACACATGATCTTTTTTGTGGAGCCATGAGATAATGAGATATTTATCTAAATATAGCAGCTGCTTCCTCATCTTAAAACCTGCGTATGCCACTTGATTATCTGACACTTCCAAAGTATTTCCAAGACCATTTGTATTAGCCTAGACAGTGGGCAGTCGGAGGGATTCTTTTTACCTAACTTTAGGTGTCTAATTCTGAGGACCTTTTCAGTCAGCAGAGATCTAAGCAATAAATCAGTGGAGTTTAGTGTATGACTCATGATCAAATGTTGGCCCCTACTGTGAGGTGAATTGCTCCTACAACTTACTAACTCTATTGATTAGATACCTTTGATTACACAAGAGTCTCAAGTGACTCATCATGAGTAGATTCATAGACAGATGCATCCTACCCTACAAACCTTTATGTCAAGAGGATTTGAGTTAGGCTAACAGTACCCAAAAGATTCTTCTCAGACATTAATGTTGATAAGGCCGCTACCATACCATACAAAGGGAATTGCTGGTCTTTTTTTTTTTAATAGCATTTGCTCCAGCCTTGATTGTTTGGTAGAAGAAGCAGTGACTCCATTGTGTAATCACTTCCCCATGGGGGAGTCCCTGCTGCTAGCAACTCCCATTGGAAGTGGGATGTTACTTACAGAGCTCAAGGCATACATAGCTGTGAGATGCAGGGATTGTCCCCCTCCCTTATCTCTGTGGAAACCTTGCTGGCTAGTTACCTAATAAACACTATCCTTAGCTGGATACCTAATCAAGGTAAATACAATAGCATTTCTGTTACAACGGTCAAGTTTTCCGCAGTATGTATTCTTCTGCTCAATGTCCACAACAAAAATAACTCCCTAAGTAACCTGCATACACTAATAAATGCAGCTGGGTAATAACAGATCTTCTATCTGGCTTGCCAATGCTACATTTTACCAACAGGTGTATATCTCAGCTTTAGAAAAGCAAAGACAACATCAGGTCCAGCACAACTGTAGGTGAACTAGCTTTGAAAGTCATGATTCATGATCTCTGCCACAATGCTGAATCAAGCAAAAGAATGGAGAGGATGTACAAACCTCCCGCTCCTGGGTTAAAAGCTATCTTCTAATGGTTAAACTGGAATAAGATCTATGGAGAGGTGAATTATGGTACCTCTTTCAGTTTCAAAAATATCTCTCCTTGAAGAAATGGTACCAGCCATAGGTAGAGAGTGCCACCAGACCTAAAGAAATAAGGCTGTGATCTGATACAGAAATTTCAGTGTTTCTTCTCTTAAAACAAGAAGATTGGGATAAGGTGATAAGAAAAGATCCCAACAGAGACTCTGACCCAAATACTGTCGCCACTGAAATCAAAGGGGAATTCAGCTGACAACTTCTGGGGCAGGAAATTGACCCTCAGTCTAGGAATGGCAGCTTACAAAATCCTTTAGCAGTACAGAGAGTGAAGAGACACAAAACATGTCTTTATTCTCTGCCCTTTCCTTCCTCTCAGGCAGCTCTGGCTCATGCATGTCACTATGCAGCTGCGTCAGCCTCTGCAAAAGGGTACAATCAGCCACCAGGAGATCGCGCCCCACGGTCGAGGGAGATCGGGAGGGTGACTTGTTGGGTGCTCCCCTCTGAGAATATCCCATTGCGCACCACCCTCCGAGGGAGATAGCTGCGAGACCCGGCCGACGGCGGGGGCCAGGCCGGGGACCCTCCGAGTGGGCTTTCCGTGCAGGCAGCTTGGGGGGAGGAGGAAGCTCGGAGCCCTGGGGTGGGAGCCAGGCGGCAAGGCCGGGCAGTAGCATCCTACTGGGCC